AATCGTTTCCACTCCGAATCGTTTTTCGTATACAATGATATTATATCATTGAATTAAAATTTAATGTTATCCATTACTGTAACGTCTGTAACCCACTTTTAACCTATTGTATAGCAGAGCGACATCAACTTACTTAGGTACTTGCTTTTTTTAAATCAAAATTTTATTTCAAATTTTAAAGTAAAAAAAATCACCTATTATATTATACAAAATACAAATTACAAAAAAAAACAATGAGTTTATAAAAATTGTTCAAAAAGTGAACAAATTCCAAAAAAAATTTAGATTTTCATAATCTTTTTCTTTTATATATAAAATTAGTTTTTATCTAAGATGTAAAGGATTATACGGAAAAAACGTAAAGTAAGTTATTCAATATTCTATTTATTCTCTGTTGTCATAATATTATTATTATTATATTATTTATCTACACTAATATCACAAAACCCAATGAGTATTTGTAATTTTGCTGTTGTCACTAGGTAATTATCACTTGTCCTTTCTCTGCTTGTAGCGACCACCAACAACAGTGCTCATGCGATRTACGCGGGGGCTGTGACACGTGTTGCTAACATACAAACCACAAAACAATAAAACTTGGTTGACCAAATCATATACTTTTAATCGAATTTTTAYTATCATATTTTGTCTTTTATGATTTTAAATCATGCACAAATGCCGATTATTAGCAMGTGAATGGAAGTACACTAAAACAGAGAGTAGACATCTGAGATAGGTAACCGATATTGCCAGTATTTRCTGTTTGTTTATTCTTCTTGGATTAATTTGGGTGATACCAAAGTTTGAATACAGTAAAAYAAATGCTTCCATCAAGCATATAAATACTTAATTAATTCTTTTATTTATTATGCTAAAATAAAATAATGTCAATCGTTTAAACATTCTAACTGTATTTATATACGTACACTTAAGTGTTAATCAATATTTTTAATAAAAAGAATGCGACAAAATGCTTAATTCTTATTACTTGTATCAGTTRTATCTGATCAAAGTTCAATTTATATGTATAGTTACCATGTCTATTTATGTAAATACCTACCTATTTACAGTTTAYACAAAGCTGTAACAATGACTTTTCAAACAATAAATCGTTTAAATTAAATCTTCAATGAAATTAATTTTAATTATAATTTACGTTCTTATTAAACTATTTTTAGTTTTAGACWGCACAATACGTAATTTATAATCAATAAAATACCTATTTTAATAATATTATTAAACGTCTTAACAAATACAATATTATTTGTTATTTTTATTGTATAGGCTTCTTGATTCTTGAACACCACTTCAATAAATCTAAATAGATATTAAACATATTATARCAAGCTACCGTATGCTTTGAACAAAACAATTTCATTAAGTACAAATATATTTCCGAGTCATTCAGATTACAATGATGTGCTGTAGAA